TAGTCAGCAACGACCCCCTAGGAGTGTGGAGAATCGGCGTAGGCCTGGTAGTGATTATTGCACGTTTGTTTTGGTGACTTGTTTTTGACTTGTTCACAGTGCCCGTGTATGAGCCAGTCCTATACCGGTTAGACCCGGCTTTTGGCCTAGTGGTTTCCCTGACCTTGTCGCAGACCCTGGAACTTTACCCAGCCATTGTAGGCTGAGCTATCCCCGGCAAACGGTTGCGACTTCTGCACTTTTAATACTATATTTTCCCAGTGCAGAAAATCTCGTCGCAAGATGGCGCCCGAACAGGGACTGAGGTTGGCAGTGGTGCTGAGTTGCTGACGTATTAACGGCGCCCGAACAAAATAATTTTATCTGTGCAGATTTGCTGCGGACTTGTGCAGATTGGCTGCGGACCTGAGCTGTTGAGCAGAGTTTTAGGCGGACCTGCTGTGATTTTATAGTCGGTTGGGTAGGCCTTACCTGTTTTCTGTTACAGCGTGGTGTGTTGTGAACCCTAATTTATTTAGTGGTTGTATACATAGATATTAGTTAGTAATTTTAACTTTGCTAATTAATTGAGCCTTATCATTGAATATTATTTGAGTGAGAACCCTTATTGTGTATTTGTGGTTTGGCTTTCACACTTATAATTGGTTTGATTTATTATTTTGCTAATTAATTGAGCTTTATCATTGAATATTATTTGAGTGAGAGCCCTTACTGTGTATTTGTGGTTTGACTTTCACACCTATAACTGGTTTGATTTATTATAACGGTGTTAAATATATTTTAATCGGTTTCGCTCTTATTTTTGCGGATTAGTCGTGGTATTTGAATTTTAAATATGGTTGTCACTACGAGTACGACGTCTGTGCTGGGCGGTACGCCTATTACGTCTGCTATTACTACGGCTAGTTCTGGGGTTAGCTCCGAACTGTCGGTGATGACGACATCGTCATTGTGGCCGGCGTCTTCGCTCGTTTGGCCGACTATTTCGTCGGTCGTGGCTACGACAGTGACAACTTCTTTGACATATTCCGCGCCAGCGACTATGTCCTTGGGGTCGCAGCCCCGGGACGGTCGCGTGGGTTGGATCTATGACCTCTCGAAAGGGGAGCTCATGAGGACAATGGACCAGTATGGTTTGGTGACCACTGGGACTTCTGCGGAATTACGGCAGAGATTTTCATCATTTTGGAAGCAGCGGAATGCCCGTCGGTACAGCGATGATAGGCTGTGTACGGCTGGGGCTGCTGCACCGACATATGTACCGCCGGCTACTACAACCATAGGGCATCCAGACCCCCCGAGAACCGTACCTCAGGTACTGGTTAGTACTGAATCGGACCAAACAGAGATATTCAAGCTTAGCGGGGAGTTAGAGGCGGTCAAAGAGATTCTTGGGTTGTCTTTGGAGACTGATACCCGGACTCTTCAAGAACAACTTGCATTGGTGGTGCGACAGGCGAGGGGCTCGCCGAGTAATGAGGTCGGCTATGGGTTCGAAAGACCCGCCAACCCTATGTCCCCTGTTGTGGCTGCTCCCATGCCTACCTTTGGGTTACCAAGTAGACCCGAGGGATGGCAACGACCTAGTGATCATTCAGAGAGACCAGTCCGTCCTTCTAGTGTTGAGGTGCCACGTGGATCGGATATGCTCTCGAATGGGGCCAGCAGGGTGGAGCCGAAGGACTGCTCCAAGATATGTGACATGGTCCGAAAGTGGGGTTTGAAGTTTGATGGACGTAGAGACCCTGTGTCATTCCTGGAGCGTCTTGAAGAGCTGATGGTCTCGTACGCTATATCGTCGGAGGACCTGCTTAGAGCGCTGCCGGAGCTGTTGCAAGGCTCAGCACTTCTTTGGTATAGGAACTGCAAGGAGCTCCTGTATTCTTTTGAAGCTTTTCGGCATCAATTTGAGATCCAGTTCCTCCCACCTGGTTATCAGAGGAATTTGGATGAGGAGATCCGGAAAAGGACACAGGGTGAAGGCGAGCACTTCCGGGACTACGTTGTTGCCATAAGTACCTTGCTTAGGCGTAGTGGTACGTTGTCGGAGCATAGTAGATTGGACCTAATCTACAATAATATGCGTCCAGAGTACAAACTGATGGTACGCCGGCGTGACTTCAGCAACCTGGCCGAGATGGTGGAGTTGGCTGAAGACTACGAGGCCTATTTGCGAGAGAAGGCCGCCTTCCGACCTCCTCCTTCACCAAACGTAGCGCTGGTTTTGGAAACCGCCTATGTTCCCAAGAAGAAGGCTGAGAAGTGTTTTGAAACGGCCGCGGTTGAAAAACATAATTTTCAGAGACCATCTCTTGAGGCTAAGTCGATTGGGCGGCGAGTAGATTTTGACTCTAACCGGGTCCGTGAACAAAGGCCCGTAATGACTAGGGAAGTTGCAGATGGTGCAAAGGATGTGCGTTGTTTTAGGTGCCAGGAGATTGGCCACTTTGCCAGAGGCTGTGGCAAACTGAGGACCGTCTCCTGTTTTGGATGTGGGAAACCTGGTTTTACTGTGAACCAGTGTGGATGTCGTGCGGGAAACGGCAGGCCAGCTCAGACATCAGGAGGTCAACTGAGCGAGGCCACCCGAAACGAACGACCTCAGAAGAGTGGTCCGAGTGGCTCGGAAAACTAAACAGCCTGGTTGGTGGAGTAGACGAGGACCGGCTGATTTCAGAGACAAGGCCCTTTGTTGAAGTTGTGCTGATGGGCAGCGTTTTTGTGGCGTTACTGGACACTGGGTCCGTCGTCAACTTGGTTGGGCGAGGAGTCGCCGAACATCTTCAACGCCAGGGGATAGAGCCTTGTAAGATTACCGCTCCTCTGAGGATGGCAGATGGGACACGGTCGAAGGCTGAGTATTCGTTTCGGCTAGCAGGAGAAGCTGCGGGAAGACGGTGGGTTGGAGACGCCTTGTACGTTCCCACTCTTACCACGGATTTGATTTTGGGTATGGATGCCATACGAGATCTCGGACTTGTGACGGTCGTGACGGAGGTGATAACAATGGGCGTGGGTGATGACTGTTCTGGCCAAGGGGGCCGCATGGACAGTGTCAAAATTGGTGACGAAGACCCCGAAGGCCCTTGCATTGGAAATCCCCGTCTGGTTCCTGATGCTAAATCATTCTGCACCTTGTTGGCTGGTAGTGGAAGAGTTAGCTGGTAGAAGAGTTTTTTTTTGTTTTGAGTTTGAGACCTGTGGTGTAGGGTTCACCATTGGGTTAGGGGTTGAAGTATTTTGTTTTGGCCGGAGTTCAAAGATTTTTTTTTTCTTTTTGGCCGTTTTCTTTTTTTTCATCCCGATGTAAGTGGGGGATGTAACGAGTTATTTTTCCTAGGGGGGTAAATATTTGCTATTTGGCCGCGCACCTATTGCTGGTAGGCAAGCGGCGGCGGCGAACCTGGCTAGCGCCCTTTGACCCGGCTTATCAGTGCCGATAAGCCTGGGATATCCTAGTTTCTCAGGATAGCCTAGGACAGACATTCGAGTGGTGGATCCCGTGCAGTGAAGAGTGTTGGTGTCTGGCTGATACGTCGGTGGTGTACGTAGAGAGGAGTGAACGTGACAGTGGTGTCGGAGAACGTTGGTGGTGTGATCGCGCCGAGTGTTTGTGTAAGTTGGGTACAGACCCACTATCGGTGAGTGGACGACGTTCCTTACTTTTTGGTTTAAGAGTTGAAAGTTGTTACTAAAACACTCATCTCTGATTTGATTGCGAGAGTTAGAGTTGTAACCGTGCTGGTCAAAGCCTGACGGTAGTTAGGATTTATTAGTCAGGAATAATATTAATTTATATTCCCGACGGTTCTGGGCAGGTGCTAGAGCGCAAATAATATAATTTAATTGACTGTAGTAGATATTATTTTGCGTTGTACCTAGAGTTAGTTATATTACTAATAACTCTGAGGCCCGACAAACCTAGGCTGCACGATTTAGCGTGCGTAGTTGGAAGCACGAGGCCAGTAGGCTAGTAGCTAGTTTTATTAGCCTATTAACAGAAGCCCAGCTAAGTAACATAAAGTTGGTAGTAGCAGTAGCAGTAGTAGGGTTGTTATTGTTTATTCATTTGATTACAGTATTTTAATTTAACCTGAACAGCTTGTTTGGTAGTCCAACACGTTATCTCGGTAGCTTGGGTAGCGGAGTACCGGCTATCAGATAATATATTTATCTAGTGTTTGGAACGTATTTAATATTTATTTATCTGCTACTAAGTAGCTCAATATTTTAATAGTGCAATTGCCATTTAACTTTGCTTGTTTGGCTTGGTATTTATTGAGACCAGCTACTAGTGGTGTAGTCACTCTACCCATAGTGTACTTGTATATTATTATGTGGTACGATTATTGAGTGAACTGTTTGATTCTTAGCTTGGGCATTAGAGTTGTGTATTGGATTATAGTGGCCTAGTAGACCCCGCCTGGTGATAACACGCGTTGTGGTTTTTATTGGCAAGTCGTCGTGTAACTCACCGTGTTTTAGGCACTCTGGGCTTAACTATTGGATAGTTAGGACGAAGCCCGAGTTGCGTAGTCAGCAACGACCCCCTAGGAGTGTGGAGAATCGGCGTAGGCCTGGTAGTGATTATTGCACGTTTGTTTTGGTGACTTGTTTTTGACTTGTTCACAGTGCCCGTGTATGAGCCAGTCCTATACCGGTTAGACCCGGCTTTTAGCCTAGTGGTTTCCCTGACCTTGTCGCAGACCCTGGAACTTTACCCAGCCATTGTAGGCTGAGCTATCCCCGGCAAACGGTTGCGACTTCTGCACTTTTAATACTATATTTTCCCAGTGCAGAAAATCTCGTCGCAATACCTTGTTAACAGGGACATTTCAGGATGGTCAAACGAATAGTTTTCTTGTTACGATGCTTACTGCTGTGTTTCTAGGTTATTTTAATGTATATATATATATATATATATATATATATCCAAGGAGCCCCCCCTCAAAAAAAGTTTTCCTTTGCTCTATAATGTAAATGTTCATATAATTTTACAGGTCCTGGTGAAAACTACACAGACTACGTAGCAACTAGATGGTACCGAGCACCTGAACTTCTTGTGGGAGACACACTTTATGGACCTCCTGTAGATGTCTGGGCGATTGGTAAGCATACATTTTACAAACACATTCATAGTTCTGTACAGTAAGGTTCAGTTTTTAGCGAACTTCCCATATGGGGAAAAAGCTATTACCGTGGTACTCATGGTAAGACCTGGACCCGGGACCGATTTACTTTTTCGTTTTGAGGTCTCTAGAGGCCAAAAACACCATCCGTTTAAATTCATATATATATATATATATATATATGTGTGTGTGTGTGTGTGTGTGTGTGTGTGTGTGTGTGTGTGTGTGTGTGTGTGTGTGTGCTTTCGTGCTGCATAAGCTGTGGGGACATGAGTGTGAATGTGACCAGACTGTGTGGACCTAGTCGCTTATGTGGACATCACACCCGTCCACACAATTTTTACAGGAAATACATTAACTGTGTGGACTTTGTCATGTCTGACTAGTGGCGCTCCTACAGACTTTTTGGTGAACAAGGAAAGCTGCTGGTGGCTACTAGTAATGGAACTTGATAGTTTGGCTTCCCATCTCCTGATATAGAATTGACTCCTTGTACAACATTTTATAATAAATGAATAACTAATAAACTATTTAATAATTCTTACAATTTGGTTCAACATAGCATAATTATCATTATATAATATATTTATTTATTTATACAAATATATTTTTTTAACTTTTTTTTTGCCATCTAATATTTTTTAAAGTTATTTATTTCACCATTCTTCTTCACCATGTTCTTGTAATTCCATTTAGCTTATATCTTCACCTATCTTCTTTTATTTTTTTTTTCTATTTCATCAAATAATTACATAGTTTGGACGCACAGGCCAAAGTCGACGCTCAGGCTCGCAGCCCATGTCGGCTTATTCCCTAAAAATGTGTACGTTTTGTTGAACATAAATGCTGCAGATGTTAATTTAATTTATTCATTTAATTGCACGTGTTTTTTCTTCTCCATTAAATAATTGCGTAACATTTTTTGTAAATAATTTTTGGAATAAATATATAACTCATTCATTCATTCATAATAAATATGTGTGATATAATAAATTATTGTCATATTTAAATGTTACATATATATTATTCAATGATACATATAGTATTTAATAAGTAAAAAAACTATTTGCAAGATCACTGACTAAATAAAACTCCAGTTTTATTTAGTCAGTGACAGTGAATAGACGGTGCTGGCCAGGCTTTACAGTTTTAACCAGTTTTATCACTCTTTATTCTAATTTAACCATTTGATCAACATGACTAGTTTTGACTATTGTGATTTTGACAGTATTTTAATCTTTTGACATACCACAATGTATTCATAGATGATATGGTTGCATACAATGACCTGACGAAGTTCTAAGGAACGAAACTAGTTGTCATACCAGCAACTGTGGTTGGATAAGGTAATCCTTTTATACTATCAATAAAACTAGCGTGTGTAATGGAAGCAAGTGGTTTACTAAGAACAAATAACAGAAGTCATTGGGTTCATTCTTTTTGTCGTGAACGTGATGCAGGCGAACGTTTTCGTACGTTTTACAATAAAATCAGGAAACACGAGACAAAAGTTTGTTTATACTATCGTATGTCAGCCCAGTCATTCGATGAGCTTATTCAGATCATGAGGCCTCAGATAACAAAAATGAACACACATTTTAGGAATTCTATTCTATCCTATCAGAATATTATTATGCCTGTTTGTCCCACAGTGATAGCTGGCCGTGAACATGTTCCATAAACTTATCAACATCAAACATTTCTAGTAGATTCTAAACAACCGAACAACATAACAGGATAGTGTGCACGAACCCACAAGACTGAATAGGTTTTTGGTCTTTGTCTGGTTGTACTAAGATGGTTGATTATATGCACTAAGTTAGATTTCAGTTGTGACAAAATTAGTCAGTACAGAATTTATCTCTGTCTGTCTTATTCAATTCTTCCATTACAAGTCCCAGAATTTAATGGCCATCGTTAATTGTCTTTACTTTCTGGTTAATTGCGTCCTTAAGATCCATTAGAGTACGGATTTTGTGAGTGTAGATGCTAAATTTGAGAACGCCTCATTGAAGAAATTTACACACGCTAAAATATGGTGATCTAGGGGCCACGACATAATATCTTAGGAAGGTGAAATACACCATTCTAGAATACAAATATAAGAAAATTAATAAAAATTTAATTCTTATATGCGCAGTAAGTCTTGTTAAATAAACATATATTAGGTTTAGCGAGCTGTTGGCCCGTCCTACATACGGGAATTGAGTGTTCAACTAAAACTGAAGTTATATCAATATGTCCATTTCTAATCCAAGCAAAGTTCAAGCGGTTAAACATTTACTGTAAACAAAAAGCTGCCAAGATGAATCAAAACATGTAAACATTGTTAATTTCCTATTCTTTCCTCAAACAGTCAAACTGGAAAATAATTTGCATAAGCTTTCCTTCGAAAACTCACAGGACCAGAGCCTCGATTTGTATACATCAGTGGTTATAGAATCTTACTTATTTCCTACAATCAATGGCAAAATAACAGAATAATAAACTAACCTGATAGTTTTGAAGAATATTTTTATATTCAACCAGCTGTTAGTTAAAACAAATTTTATTGCAATAAAACGAACATAAAATTTTAAAGACTGCTTAAAAAAATAAATTAGAGCATCTAGTATTTTACTATGTATATTTAATTAATCTGTCATCCTCTTACCGAAGAATTGAACGTATCAATAGCATTACACATAGTATAAATAAGTCAACCGTAAGTATGTCTTTGATTTTTATCCAAATGCCGAATTTGTGTCATAAACACTGAATGTTTACAGCTGTTATGACAAATTATATTATACCAAAAGCTAGTTTAGAATGTTAGCATCGGCTGCTAGACTTAAAAATAATTTATAAATAAAAAACTTTTTTAAACAAACGTTTTTAAACGCCCTAAAAACTAGAAAATAATTTACAAATAATTTATAAATATGTTGTGAGAGTATAAATACTTGTACGATTTAAAATGAAAAACGTTGGGTGCATGCAATTAATTGATAATAATACATTAGTTCAGTAGGTGAAGGTAATTGTAAACTATCTATTGCATGCACCCCACGTTTTTCGTTTTAAATCGTACAAGTATTTATACTCTCTCAACATATTTATAAATTATTTGTAAATTATTTTCTAGTTTTTAGGGCGTTTAAAAACGTTTGTTTAAAAAAGTTTTTTATTTATAAATTATTTTATACTTTTTAGTTTTAATGTGTGTGCATGTTAAATCTATTTCAAGCGTCTATATCAGATTAAGACAGAGGCATGTGGGAAATCTAAGGTTTATTTGAGTTTCTTTGCATATAATTATGTATTAGATTGCATGTATGGCCTACCTACTAACTATAAATATATCAATCTATTTGACTTATTGTTTACTTTATAGAATACTAAATAAATAACAAATGACATTATTAACAAACTCCTTTATATCTGCAATCAGTTTGTTTATCTTTATTTTGAAATGTTTGTTTGTATAAAGAATCTCTTGGGAGCAGAACCTGTACCTCTTGACCTCTGCTTTTTGAACTGTCAAATTTAAGTATTTACAGCTGACTTAAATTAGTTGATATATTTACATCCTTTCAAAATGTAAACATGAAAAATTTGGAAGCCCATGGGGCGTAGCCCAAGTGAAATATGAAAATTAAATGATATAATATCGCATTGTCATGCATTTGTGAGCTATGTTTCAAATTTCAAGTCTCTAGCTTATCGGTTACATCGTTTAAAATTGATATCAAAATTTGTAGGAAAGCGAGCTAATAAAAACAAGCCCATGGGGCGTAGCCCGAAAGGAAATATGAAAATTAAATGATATAATATTGCAATGTCATCCATTTGTGAGCTATGTTTCAAATTTCAAGTCTCTAGCTCATCGGGAAGTATCAAAATTTGCAAGAAATCGATTTAATAAAAACAAGCCCATGGGGCGTAGCCCTAGGGAAATATGAAAATTAAATTGTATAATATTGCATTGTCTTCCATTTGTGAGATATGTTTCAAGTTTCAAGTCCCTAGCTCATCGGGAAGTTAGTATAAAATCGGTTGCAAAATTTGTAGCGGACAAGAAAGCGACCTAATAAAAACGTTTTAAAATAAAACTTAATTTCTAAAACTGGGACCCTAAACTAAAATTATGGCTTTGACATTCCCTAGTCCCCAAAATGATCTTTCTTTCAACACAAAAATCATGAAAATCTGTCGAGTGGTTGATTCATAATCGCGAAATAAAAAAACCATGTCACGTTTTAATATATATGATGTTTATCTAACGTTGTTGTCTCACATGTAACCTAAAAAACAGCTTACGAACTGCAAACTAGCAAACGGCTGATTTTCTTTCCGATAGATTCTGTTTTCCAAAAATTCTTACGGACATAACACATTTTAAAAATACATGAAAAAGTATTCAATAATAAAGTGAATTACAATAAGAAAACTGAGAGGATAGAACAAAATTTGAAACTCTCCTCTAATAGGGTATTGTCGAGATGCTACCCCGAAAACACGCCACCATCTAGATAGCAAGATAGCCGAAGTGTTTTTAGGTTATCATTAAGTGCCATGCCGACAGTATAAGTTAGTTAATTAATTATAGTACATTTCTGTACTGTCCGCCAGTAATGTTAATACGGGTATATGCTTTATTTATTCTCATTAAACCTTTTTAACTGCCGTTGATTATGGACGCTAACTGACTACAAGTACAGGTAATGTATCTTATATAAAGAGGAAAACGTAATTCATATGATATTATTTCTTTGTAGGCTACTATCGGTCACTGATTCTGTAGAGAAACATCTTTTTCCTGCCTGCATTAATTTATTTACACTATCATGGGTTATAGGCGCTAACAGAGCTACAGTTTAACATAGTCAATCTATAGTCAAATTTCAAACTGAATGGAGTACTTCATCTGAAAAGGCTTTCTGTTCAGAGACAAAGTCAACTGGTGTCATAGATTTAGTAAAAAACAAATAAAGAAAAATTAAATAAAAAAGTATTTAAATTATATAATATTAATATTATATTCAACCATTCAACTAATATTAATTAATAAATCAATATTGTAAAATATTAGTATTAAATTATATTATAAAATATTTATCTCAAATTATATAATATTTATATATAATATTAAATTATATAATAGTATTTAAATTATATTAGTAATATCGAACCAAATCGATTGCATCACTGAAAAATATCGATAGTTCTCCAGCTATATCTTTATGATGACATTGGTTTTTTGGTCTGATATTTTTATCTGACAAGAAACTGAATTTCTCACTTATTAAATATTTTTTACAATAAATTAAAACGTAAATAGAGTTATTTCTTATGATACATAGCAATTTGGATATGACGAATATACAACGAATTATTTATAAAGAAGTCTGGAGACAACCTAAATATAGGTACTGTCAAAATGCAACCAGTGAAATTTCCAAACTGTGTGGACATTAACACTTTCAAACGAAATAACACTCGATTGTGTCAACATTTGCATTATCTGTGTGGACATGTGTACTAGCTTTTGCATTACCTGTGGGGACATGACCGACTCTTGCATTAACTGTGGGGACGTCCACACAATTTTCATGATTTTTTTTACTACATTTAGACCAATAAACAAGGAGTGTTCTTTTCTTCATCGTCAATTTGAGGTTAGAAAGATCCTAGGATATTTTTTTCAGCCGTGTGCCTTGATGTCCACATAGTTTGGTTAAAAACCCACGTCCACACAAGTATAGGGATGGCGTGTATGTGTGTGTGTGTGCGTGTGTGTGTGTGTCTGTTAGCACGATAACTCGAGCAAAAATTATCCGATTTTGATTAAATTTGTTATAAACGTGTAACCCTACATTTATTCGAACGAGTTCGCGAACCAGCATGATCGGACTATGGCAACGGGGGTTTATGGGGGGTTTTATGGGGTAAAAATAGGTTTTCCCATTTGTGACCCTAAAAACACAAAATTTCACAATTTCCCTCCAATCCATTTTGTTGAGCTTAAAAAACAAATAATTTAGTATATTGAAGCGTTATTATGCGCCTAATGGTTACAGAGAAAATTCCAAAGAATTGTAAATTTTAAATTCCCATGTTATTCTTATGGAGAATAAGTAAACTGTTGTAGTTTGCTTGTTTATGAAGATATTTTAATCATATCTGGAAAATACATTCATTTCTTACTAAACTATTAACATTAAGAAAACACACACTTGTTTACCCTCCCTGTTGCAGCAAACCTAAGTACTCGTTAAACTAATTCTATTTAAATAGGGAATAAATGTTATATTTTAAGGAGGCAATTTAGTGTAAATCCAATCAGGCTAATGGAAATTCGCTTGGTCTGCAGGTTTGCTGCAGCGGGGGTATTTTGTGTTTATCATTAAAAGTTTTTTGTGAGGAAATTAATTTGTATCTAATCCCTGGCCTTGTTACTATCTAACCTCAACTGTTTTGTTAGGTCGCACCATGAATTGATAGCCCAATGACTAATAGCATAGCATCTGGGTCCAGTAACGATCTAGCTTATAGCATCAAACCAGTGACCTTCAGATTTGAAGCCGGGCACTAAACTATTCTGCTACAAGTAGTGTACTAAGTAGCGGTTGTTGTACAGTTGCATTACAGTATGATGGATGTTTCAGGTTGTGTGTTTGCTGAGTTGGTGCGAGGTGAAGCACTCTGGCCTGGCAAGTCTGATGTTGATCAACTTTACCTCATACGAAGAACACTCGGTGAGTTTGGCAACACTGTAATAAAAAAATAGTCTAGTTTTTCATCATTTATTCTTCATTTCTTGAACTAAAATACACTATCAATTTATTTTAGAGAATATTCATATAATCTGTTTACAATTTTTATCCTATAAACTCGTTAATATCCACTGTAAAATTGGAAACTGATGAACCTATGTAGTGGTTTTAAAAGGTGATGATTGGATACTTGCCAAGCTTACTAACATTTTACGAATCCTAACTGTGTGTTCATCGGGAGCTTGAAGGTATAACAAGATGGGGGAAAATATAACAAAGGGGCATGATTATATTTAGGAAGATAAGCAAACATTTTTTATTTTTTGTTACAGGTGACCTAACGCCAAGACATATGCATCTATTCAAGACAAATGAATTTTTTGCTGGAATTTCATTACCCCAGCCGGACTCAATAGAACCACTTCATGAGAAGTTGCCAAAACATTCACTTACGGATCCAAATATTTTAGATTTTTTACACGTTAGTATCATCACATTTTTAACAAAAGATCATTTGTTTGTGGAACTTAAACAGGTTGTATTATTGAACTTTAGAACACACACACAATAGTAGTTTTCATTGAGCTGAGCGAAGCGAAGCTCTTTGGGATCAAGAGCAACAGTGGCGTAAAAAATGTTTACGGGCCCCCCTGCAAACTTATTTTTTGGGCCCCCCCTTTCATTTGTTATTTTTAGACCACCGATACAACATAATCAAACGCCCTCCCCCTCCCCCAGAGTTATTTTTGGACCACCGATACAATGATCAAACAGATTAATCATAAAAAGAGTGGTAAATAAATTATGAAAAAATATTAAATTAAAAATTAAAATATTAAATCATGGGTTATGTTCCATTAAAGGGTGTGTTAAGAATTTCGGTCGTGGTTTGATGAAAGTGTTACATCACTACATCATAATATCAATACTAGTGGCTTGTAGGGACATAAGTCCCTAAAAAGCTCAAATGTAAAACAACTTTTTGCAATACCAGTATTTAAACAAACTCAGAATAACATTATCTATGTGTCAGAATAGGCATCCCTACACCATATCTTTTGTGTAAAAACCAGTTTGTTGTTCTTCTTTGTTTGCTTTTGTTGATGTCATTTTCAATAAATAATTTGAATCACCCCAGTGGTTTAACATGAAAAGGCAGCAAACATATAATTGTTTGTGAATACTGGTTTACTAAGGTAGCTTTGGTCTTGTGGTTAATGAGGATAAATAAAAGCTTCCCTGTTTGGAATTTTAAAAATTCATTGGAGGTTCGCCTTCAGATGAATTGAAGACGCCTGCAATTTCATCTGCAGTAGGCTTATTATACCTACGACGATCCATATTTATCCTGTCTACAAACCTATAAGTTCTAATTCACTGTCACCTTGTACAACCATTTCTTCCGAAGCTCTTTTGTAAATTTGTGCAAATGGATTTTCTAATAGAATTTCAGCTAGTTTTGACAATATTTCAGGTTTTAAGTCGCTATTTTCTCGACGCCTTTGACGAATTTCTGTTGCTGTTGATGTGTCAATAATGTACAATTGGCCATACACGGGGTCTTCATCATGTTGAGGCAGCAAATCTGAGATTGAACGATAAATCTGTCCTTGAATTTTGAAACAGTATGGTCCTTTTCCTGGAATATCTTTCTTACTGGCTGAAAAATAAGCAAAAGCCATCGCACTGTTGCATTGTCGAATGAATTTATACAGTTGTGGGCTCTCTTCAAACAAACTTTTAAGTTCTACATTAGTTTTTGACTGAGGAAGGTTAATAAGTCCGTTATGGCAACATGTCATAAAATGATTATTCGTTAGTTCTTCTCTAAAATGAAGAGCACTACATTGAATGCACTCTTGGTCCAATAATCCTGCATCATGGATCTTTACATTTCTCTCGTCTACCATGGGTCTCCTAAAAAGGGGTTGTAACATATCTTGATTAAGTTCGTCATTATCTACTCTTGCTCTCCTACGCGCACTGTCATTCCATGAACAGTTCCCCGCCTTTGTGGTATTCCCCTGGCGTTCATATTAATTACAGTACTTATAATGAAAATAATATATATCCAGCAGCCTACATACCAAAATTTACTTACGAAAGAATGCAAATACACCATTTTAGAACCAATAACATTTATAGGTCATTTTAGTTGTATATATTTACACAACCTTAACCTTAAAATGTGTAGAAATATAAAGAAAACAACATCATTAAAAATAAACTTGAACATATGATTTAAAAATAAAAACAAAACAGAAGTTAGATTTAATTTCGACTCTTTGATTATTTATACAGAATATTTATTCTATGTCGTTTATTCCTTTAACACGACAATAACGTAAAAGCATGAAAAAATGAAACTTGAGTATATGATTTAAATATAAACAAAGAATGCAGACGTTTTTCCGACTAATCTTCAATATTTCAGTTTTATTATAGTATACATTTCATAGTTGACTGGCTAAAAGTAAACCAAATGTGTGTATTGATCACTGTTTTCAAATCTGTGGCACAGCTGTTTTAATTTCAAAAGATGTAAACAAATTAAACCCCATGTTGTTTTAATGGGAAAAGTTTTATCATAGATAAAACATACTCCCTTAGTAGATTTCTCATCCTTATGGAACAGCTGAAGACAATTTTATTGTTAGTTCATGTACGGTTTATGTAGAGGTCGTGTTTTGTTTACAATTTGTTTCCCGTTATTACAACCATTTAAAACCTCGTTTAACCAAATAATACGATAATCATAAACAATAACTTGTCCCCTAGTTATATAACCAATCAGTAAGGCACAAATCAAGAAATTAACCCTAAAATAATGGAAACAAGTTTCATCGACACTAGCGCCTTTGTGTCACGTACATGAACTAGACACGAAAAACGTGCTTCAAAATTTACAATGGGATGAGAAGTCTACTTGTGTTGGTTAGTCTATGGTTTTATTCTGTTGCGAATTTATGGTAAAAAAATAAGAAAAATGAATAGTTTTCCCTCAAAATTCACGTCAAGACCTTTAAAATAAGACCCCTCCCATCCTTCCGGATTTTTTTCTAAAATCCTATTTTTTGTTAATTTATGGGGTTTTTATGGGAAAATAACATATTTGACCATAACTTTTGAACCGTAATTTTTACAGATATGGGATTTCTACCATTTTATTCAGAATTTAAAGGGCTACAACATACTAAATTTTTATCAAAATCGTTCGGGCCATTTTTGAGAAAATCCGATTTTTCCGGTTTTTTATGGGTTTTTATGGGAAAATCCCCATTAAAAATAAAAATTTCAAAAAAATGAAAAAACGCCTGGAGATACCATGGATTAGAACCTACATACCAAATTTCATCGAAATCGGACCACAGGTGTAGTCTCTAGCTCTGTACACATCCAGACACACAGACACACACACACACACACACACACACGCACACACAGACATCACTTCGAAAACCACTTTTTTGGGTCCAGGGGGACCCAAAACGAATATATCCACTCAAAACTCAAACTCGAAAATTTTGACGAAAACAATACTTTCTCCATATACTATGGTATAGGGGAGAAAGTAAAAAAATTTGTGCAGACGACATAAGCAGTGTACGAAATCACCGAGAAGTAAAATATTTCTCGGTGACGAAAGTAAGATTGCATAATATGTAATCAAAGACCCACGTTATAACACGTTAAATCTGTTACCCTAGTTCGTTATCACTGAAGAGGCCTAACAAAATTAAACGATAACTGAAAACAACATATTATTAATAATATCAATGTTATAACTTGTTCAATACAATTACAGAATGAATGATAATACATTTAAATAAGAATGAACTCAAATTTTTCGGCCCCACTTGTCTCACGGGCCTCTCTGCTCACCGTTTCCCCCTCACCGGTCCGCGGCCCCCCCCCCCCCCCCCGCATTGCGGGCCCTGCGGGCCTTTCTGTTACGCCACTGAACTTCAATGCAACCTTTATAACACTTAACTAATCTCAATAACGGCTGAACATATTTGAGCCAAACTTACCAAGGTAGCTTTGTCAAATTTTTGGATGGTTTAGACGTAACCAATTTCAATTTTTGATAATGCCTATATAGTTTTAAAGTAACTCAAAGTTTTTAAATTTTAACATTGGTCTTATAGGTTGCCATGATGGTTACAAAATAACAACGTAAATGTAAACAAAACAAAGAATCATAGCATATGTTCAAATCAAGCCACGACCTAAACACAGTACAAACAAAAAAAATCGGATGATGACAACTGATCAAATAATACAGAGACAGGTTTACATATATATATAGGCTTACATTTAAGTTGTAATTTGGAAACGACCACTGATCGAATAGGTACAGTCATAGATAAAACATATTCTTTCTTAGGTTCAGTATTTAACAGATTTGATTTAGCCTACGTAGCTAAATAAGATAATAACAAACAACACATATCATAAACAATTATCATTCGTAGGTTGAATCACATTCATGGATCAATCTCATAAATGGCAAACTTAAACAGGTCCACGACGTAGGAAGTATTAGGCCTAATAGTGAGAAGTGCGGAGTGTGGGAAAAGTTTATGGCAGTTAGATAATTGTATCTAAAATACTAAAATGCTATTGGAAGAGGGGAATAGGTCCACAACGTAGGAAGTTGCGAAGGAAGTATGTATAGTACAAAGGCTGGCAGTGCGGAGTGTTGGAACCGTTTGTGGCAGTTACATTAATGTATCTGCAATACTAAAATGCTAAGGGAGGGGAGGGTATGTTCCAGAACGTCCAGCATATCACACCACCTCGCGGAGCGTTTCGCACATCAAGTGTCACAAGCAGCACAATTCAACGAGAATAGTTGTTATAATCCTCAGCTCTCATTATGGCTCGCTTTACCTCCTCAATAGCGTCGACCGTAGACCGTCCCTTCCTTAAGCCGTACTGACGAGGAGACAGATTCCCCGCAGCAACCACAGCTGAATTCAGTCGGGAACTGATAAACTTTTCAAAAACTTTCCCAGCCGTGACCAACATACAAAAAAGTCTCTTCTGCTCAAAAGGATTTAGGGATTTACTAAAAAGACTTTCTTAAGGGCCTCACCAGGTATCCAATCTGGTCCAGGAGCCTTGTTGTTCTTCAGGGAAGGAATGGCCGCCTCCAACTCCCCAAGCCTGAACAGCGGTACGTCGTCCACCCTTCCGATCTCCCGCAATGGGCGCAGTGTGTGAGTCGGGAAAGGGACTTTACTATCTTCTCCATAGAGCGCGTGCCAAGCTTCTTGGTTACAATATTGTATCCCAGGCCCCACGGATCGGAATCAACATCGTCCCTTAATTTCTCCCAGCAACTGCGTTTGCTCCGGTTGATGGCCAGGCGAAGAGACTTCCTAGCTACCTTGTAAGCATCCGACTTAAGACGTCTTTCTTCGGGTTCTCTGGCCCTGGTAGCAAGTTGTCTGGCTCTCAATGCTGTCCGACGCAATT